TTATAAGACACAACTGACTATAAGACGCACCTAAATTTCGAAGTCAAAAACAACAACAAAAAAGGTTTTTGGCCTCTGCGCATCTCATTTTCAGCCCTTTCCTTTTTGGGGCCTTTTCTTGGCCTTTTTCAGTCTTTCTTCTTCCCGTTTTTGAGGCTTTTTTGGACCATTTTTTTGGAAAAACGGGCCAAAAAAGCCTAGAAAACGGCCCCCAAATAGTCTCAAAAATGGGCCAAGAAAAGCCTCAAAAATGGCCTAAAATAGGGGCTTGCAGAGGCAAAAAAAAAAAAAATGGCCGGCGGGTGGGTGGGGCTTCAGCAATATTTGGTCTATAAGACGCATAGACATTTTCACCCCCTTCTGTGAGATAAAAAGGTGCATCTTATAGTCTGAAAGATACAATATATATATAAGGATCTTATTTTGATAAATGATGCTGAGAAATACAGGCAGGCTTAAAGAGAAAAAGATGAAACGAGCTCCCAGTTCCTTTTCAGCTGCAAATTATAGAAGTATATTCCATTTTTCATCAGATCATAGATTCGTATTTAAACAGCGGTCTACCCCATTTGAGAACTTGTGGCTCCAGCCGCTCCACCCACAGGAGTAACACAGCCCTACAGTGATGTGTTCAGAGTGATTGCCTGTGATTGCAAGAGTCACAAAGCTGATCCGGTCTCTTCAGCAAATAGTGATATTCTTTTCCTCCTCTTAAAAGAGGATCTTGTATTATCCCTTCAAAACCCTGACATTTCCATTTAACAAAAAAAGGGTAGCTTCTCCTTTCCTTATGTCAGGATTCTAAACTGATAAGATGTCCACCTTGCTGCCTGAATAATTTCAACAAACAGTTTATTGAATACTGAACAATATACAACATGAGCATCCATCTATATATATAAAAACGGCTGTTTGTGCGTATGTTCCAGCATAACTCTGGAACGCCTTGAGCAATTTCAACCAAACTTGGTACACAGATGACTTCCTCTCTGGAAACAAATACTGTGGGGGGTAAGACATCTCTAAAACCCCTTGGGGTGTGTTTTCTATTAAGATGCAGCCTGTTGTGCCTTAAAATGGCTTCTACTATACCATAAAATGGATTCTACTGTGTAGCGCAGTGGAGTTGCCATGGTAATGACTTTGCAGTACTCCACAAGGGGGCACCCTCTGGTCAGGGGGAAAATCCAACATTAGAAATTACATTTGGTCCAGACATTTCCCCCCTATAAATAAATACCTGGGCAATGCCGGGTTATCGGCTAGTGGAAGAATAAAGAATAAAATACGTTCAACTGAAGCATATGTAAATTTCACCCAAACCTCTAGAGTTGATTCTGTACAAGATTAATAATTCTTCTGTTTCTGAAGTGGGATAGACTTTTGCTTATATGATGTTTATTTAGTGACATCCAAATACATATTTACATTTACAAGGCATCATTATCTATTATTTTAAAAAAGGCAAGTCACATTCATAAATTATTTATTAAATGCTGGCAATGAGAGAAGCAAGAGACAGAAGAAAGGAAAATGTCACATTACAGAAAATTGTGTTAAAACAGCAAAGCTTTCAGTATAATTCTCTTTTTATTAAAATCACCATGAGGCCCATTAGCCTCTTTGTCCATTTTCATTTTGTTCCATTCATTTCCATTTTCAGAAGTTGTGGGTGCTCCATCCCTGGAAGTTTTTGAGTAGAGATTAAACAGCCATTTGTTTGAAATGGTATAGGAACTCCTGCTTGAGCAGGGGGTAGATTAGAAGATCCCCAAGATCCTTTCCAACTTTATTATTCTGTATATTGTATTCCATTGTAGGAAGTTAGCACCCATCCCTCTCCTAGAAAAATTAAATATTTTAGTAAATATTAAAAGAACAGAATATTTCCCCTAAAAGGGAGACAGGCACTCATCCTCCCACCTTTGTCAATGGGCCTTAAGGTCTGAGCCAGTCTCTTCTACATAACAAAGATCTACCTCCTTCAGGCAGAGCCATAATAGGAATCCCAAAGCCCTTTCAGTACATCATCACCCAACAAGAGCCAACCATGCTTGGGACTCAATACTGCCTACAGAGTTCCCTCTGCATGGCCCCATGGGAGTCTGACAAGCAATCAGAATACAAGTTCAAATTCAAAAGCCCAGAGAGGGCAGAAAACCCAGGTACTCTCAGCATCTCTGCTCTTTTTGCCCAGGATCTCAAATCTCAATCCTGCCCACCACCATTAAAACCATCTTTTCAAGCAGTCTCCATGTTTCCAGTGTCTTTCTCCCCACTTGGAACTGAACCCAGAAGGACATTTCTTCCAACACCATGTAGCAAAGCCCTGATTAGCATTGGAGAACCTCAAGGTTGTAGCTATTTTTACGTGTAGTAAAACTACATGTAATTCTAACATGGTGTGTATTTCAACCCTGAATATTAAGAACAGCAAGTATACAATTTTTGCTGGGGTGAGGGATGTAAAGAATTAGATAAAATGTTTCTTAGAAAAGGTGGACTTTGAAGAGTGATATAGAGATAGTATTACCAATATAATTTGGAAGGTTTCGCAAGCAACAGGATATAGCAAGGGGGAAAAAAGGAGACATTATAAGTAGGCTTTTAGGAAATGGGAATGACAGAGTTGAAGGGCTAAAATCTGTGAATTCATTTCCATAGGATGCAATATAGCTGGAAATAGAAGTTAGAAATAAAGAATGTTAAGGTGACTGTCACTGCAGATAATTTTCTTAATGGTTCTACAGTTATAAGAAACAAGTTTCGTTAAGGATACAGTTTTGGAAACAGGACTAAATACACAAACATATTATCCATGCAATGAATGAATTTAGTTCAGAAACAACGTTTTACACTATAATTTATATAAGAATAATATTATTGCACCTCGATTCACCCGCATAACACCTATCCTCCGCGAGCTGCGCTGGCTGCCTGTCGATCTCCGGGTGCACTTCAAGCTGCTATTAATCACCCATAAAGCCCTGCATGGCAGTGGATCTGGATACTTGAG